AAATTTCTTTTCTCAGAGTAGCATATTTTTATCATTTTACTTAGGTATAGCTTTGACTCGCATTTCGTTCTTAAGCTTATAATAATTTAATGATATATTTGGGTCAATTTCCCAGTATTTCAAGTTTTCCGCTGACATTCCATTTTCTCGGAAGAAACCAGTCCGTGAAGATACTTTACCACTGATTTGTGATACAGCTTTTTGTAGGTTTGATTGATTTCCAAAATGTGTCAATACGTGTTGACGTATTTGCGGGAGGGTTAATTTGTGCGTAGGTGAATACTAAAAAGATTTAAGAAACAAACAAAAAATTAGAAATTTACTGTGGATTTGTCGCCCTCCCCTTTGGAAGGGAGGAGAAGGCTAAAAAAGTCGAAAAATCACCGAAAATCACTATTTTAGGGCTAAAACAGAGCAGAAACCCTCTTTTAACCCCAAATTACTATCATATTTGAAAAGCTGGTAGAAAATCCAACTTATGTGTAGAACATTCCAACTTGATCAAATCCTCCATTCTGCCTCAATTCGAGGTCGGTAGTTTGAAAAATCGTGCTCCTGCAAGCATACAACCGTTTTTAATGGCTTTTAGAGCATCGACACAGTTTTGTATAGGTTTTACTGCCCCTTCGATGCTCTAAAGCCATTAAAAACGGTTGTATGCTTGCAGGAGCACGATTTTTCAAACTACCGACCTCGAATTGAGGCAGAATGGAGGATTTGATCAAGTTGGAAGTGTCAAAGAGTGCCATTTTTCATTTTTTTTAATATTTGGGCCACCCTAACTTTTCATCAGATGAAGAAGGTCACCCTAATTTTTTGGCTTTGTGAGTTTTTGGCCATAAGAAGTTTATACACCAAGTTTGAGCGAAATCGGAGAGGTCACTTGCAAATTTTGTCCCGCTTGGTGTGGAATGGTCGTTATATAATAATCTGGCAAATATTAAAAAAAAAAACTTACATCCAGTGCATGCTTGATCATGGCAGTCACAGACCAAGTGCTTGCGTCTTCAACAATGTGAGCAAATGATGATGATGATGCTGATGAAGAAAATGACGCTGCTGGTACTGATGATGATGAAGGTGATAGTATTAATGCGTCGTGCGTAGATGAAATCTAAAAAGATTCAAGAAACAAACAAAAAATTACAATTTCACTGTGTTAATTTTATAAAATGAATCATCATACCAATGGACTCAAAAATGTATCAAATCATGCATATTTTTTCAAAACAGTACATTGAGCGCGTCGCTGAACAAAGTGATACAACGTTCTGTTACTGAAACAAAATGAGACACTTGCCGCGCTTCGAAACAAAGCGCAACATAAATAAAATAGTAGCCAACGATTTCATACTTCATATTGATCCAATAACAGATTAGTGTTTCACTTTGTTCGGCGATTTTTTTGCGTTTCAAAATTTTCACTTTTTTCCAAAAAACAACACATTGTCCTCTCAATTTTATCCAAGAGTGTATTTAAAAATAAAAATAAAGAAAAAAAAACTTACATTAGGTGCATTTTCGATCATGGTATTATTCGTAAGCAATGTGGTGGAGGATGATGTTGCTTGCATATGCCATGTGGTGTTACCTCCATCATTATCGAAATCATATTGCATAACTGGTAAATGATTCGGTCGGTTTACACGATCTGGTTCTCCATCATTCGGTCGGTCGTCTACACGATCTTGAAGAGATTGTAAAATATCCTCCAGGTCACTATTTAATTCTTCTGCGGAATCGTTCATCATACCCTTGTCATCAAATGACTAAATTGAGAATGATAAATTCAGTTCAAATAAATCGAATTGTGTGTTCGGAAAAAAAACAAAATCCGACGATCTACCGAAATACCGTTTACGAAATGATAAAAGTAAACGTAAAGGTTGCAAAGGGACAGAATTTGTTCGTCCGTCCGTCCTTCTATTGATTTCGGACAAACGGAAATTTGTCCTAATGACCCATTTCAAATTAGGACAAACGGATATTTGTCCTAATGTCCCATTTCAAATTGGGACAAACGGATACATTTTTAAAATGACTTATGTAACTTCATTTAATTAATCAAAACCAAAATTCTCAATACATATGCAGCCAGTATCGAATGGTACTCAATTTTTGTTTTGATTAATTAAATGAAGTTACATAAGTCATTTTAAAAATTTATCCGTTTGTCCCAATTTGAAATGGGACATTAGGACAAATATCCATTTGTCCCAAATCAATAAAAGGACGGAAGAACACGAAATGTTCGTCCTCTGTCCGTCCGTTTGCCACCTTTAAGTAAACGGAGTCACGTTATGTAAACTTAGACACAAACAATCAAACATTCTCGTTCATTTTTGGCATTGGCGAATTATAAACATCGGTTTTGCCAACTATTCGATAAAAATGCATAATAGTAATTTAGGTGGTTTTTTTTTCGCTGTTGCTTGTAAAATCACCGTGGAGATGAGCGTTTGCTGAATGCATAGCCATTGATGTAAACCTTTTGGCGGTGGCCTTCATTACCTATTTGAATGTAATGCCCTTGATTGTTCCAGAATCCTAGAACGGAAAATACAGCGATTTCATTAAAATTGTTTATCCAAACGCATTCTTTTGTCTGAATTTTGCTGGGTGTCAGCAATTTTGATTCATCATATTACAAAAAAACTGTCGAAATTTAAGCGATGTATTCTTCATATGTATTGAACCCAAGTAATTTTTATGTAGAATACTTCCGACGTGCTCAATGACTCGACTTTCTTCAGTGACGCTTTGACTCCTAAACGCTGAAGCCCACAAAGAAAATGCAACGATTCATTGACAATTTTAATCGTTTGATCCATTTTTTAATACACATATTCAATAATTATTTTGTAGTGATCCACGAAAGAATCAAGTTCATGAAATCACATTCACGCTCAGCGAACCGTTGAATTTGAGTTGTGATTCTAATCCGGGTCTTTCTGGTCATCGATCAGTGGCAAAGGTCAAAATGATGTTTGATACGTTAGAGGCACACGAGATCGAAAAATTGTTCTTTAAAATGATAAGATTCTTATGGTCAAGGATATTTCTTACTGTAATAAATTGCGATTGATAAAAAACGCATTTAATAATTAAACGCTTCGATTCAGTTCCCCAGCCTTGCCACATTCAAAAAGGATGGACTGGACAAGTGAAAATGGCGAAACCAGCTCTTCACACCGTTCGCGACACGCACATGGGAGAAGTTTTCATGTCGACACCACCTTCGAGCCCGCCAAGACCGTTTCGAAAATTACGTGGCAGTCCAAAGGACATGGATCCATCGGAATATTTCGTAAGTATCAATTGTTTTTTTTGTTTGGGAAGTTCTTAAGGCAAAGTTGTTGCACTCTAACTTACACACATCAAGTCGTACTCTGTGCTTCAAAATACTTTGTGTTGAACTTTGCCAAGTATGTTTGTTATGGAATTTAATCGAACAAATTGATAATCTTCAGAAAAACACCGAATATTCGATCGACCAAGATGAACATCAACCAGTCCAACTGGAGCTCAAACACTCAGACAGCGGGGTAGAACCACCGGTAGAAGCCAATGATGAACCGAACCAGAAACGAGTAGCTTCCACGCGATCGACAGAGAAACGAACGACTCGGAAACCATCGAAACAGAAACAATCGAAGTTTTTAATTCAGAAACAATCGACGAAAACTGCTCACGACACCGTTGTCAGTAATGTAAGTCACAACTACTCATTCATGGACCTTGAATCAATGTTTTTCCTTTTGTTTCAACTAACCGAATGAAATCTTTTCACAGGTTAAAAAGAATAAAGCGAAGGCAGAAAACACTGCCACAATCCAGGGGCACACCGAAGGTGATTTCGCAACAGCAATTCGAAAAGCGAACGCCGCTCGAAAGGCAGCCACTCCAAAAAAGGAAACGTTGAAAAAGGAGACGCCGAAAAAGGAGGCACCAACTGATGTCATCGACTTTGATTTAGACGCATGTGTGGTAAGAAATTTGATTTTAAGCTCATGAAAATGCTTTGCTTCTGAATTTTTTTTTGATTTTTCCCTTTGGCTTTTTGAACTGAAATAGAACAATGTAGCCGTGAAGCAGGAAACGGTTGCAGACAACCAAAAGATTGTGGTTGAAGAATACACACCAAGGGAGCTACGAACTCGCAGTATCGAGACTCGGTCCATGGCCACAAAGAACTCTGACAAGATCGCATCAGAAAAGCCAGTTCACGAAAAAGAGAAGCAAACACCAAAGAAACCGAAACGAAACTACAAACGCAAAAGTACACCAGTCAAAGTCAACAATGAAATGGAGCCAAAGAGTGATGCGAATGTTGGTCTCGATATCTCACCCGACAGCACAACGTTTGCGATACCAATTGATTGAGATCGTACGTATGTTTATCTATTATTTAGAAAAGATGTTAAAATCAAGGTGATCGTCTTCAGAACAAATCAAAATGAAACTCATTTTCTCTGTGTTTTCTTTTTTACTTTCGAGAATGACAAAGCTATATTTGAATGTATTTAATTGCAATTGATTGTTCAAAAAATACAACTAAAAAAATTGTCCTCCCAACCGAAAAATCATATAGATACACAAAAAGCTGACATAAAAACGCAATCCTCTGGGCAAAACCGTCGAGGATGCGTGCGAAGAGATTAAAATTCATATGTGTATATAGTATATTTTTAAAGCACATTATTTCAATTAAAAACATAAATTTTGTTTAAATTCAAGCCACTTGGATAGAACAATTTGTGCGTATGACGTTTATGTTTCATATTTTGGAATTGATTGGTATGTGTCTAGGCCACGTGATTTCATGTTTTTATTTTCTATTTCGTTAATTGAGTTCGTATCTCTACTCGTTGCTACTATGTTATAATATCAATTATTGTTATGTTCCAGGTGTGCAATGTTGTTCTTATTTATTTTTCCCTTTCTTCTTCATCTTCAGGATTGAATCCCACGTTCGAGCTGCACTTTCATTTGAAATGTTTGAAAATTGGTCGCGATTTACGGTAGATTAGCAGATAAGCTGGTTGATACGGTTATTTATTGTGATTTCGGTGCAGTTGGAAGAGTTTGTCCCGCGTAAACGGGATATCTCGGAGCGAATTGATCCTGACCACCAGCAAATCGAGTGTGTTGAGAATCGTTCTTATCAACAATATTGGCACGGTATTCTGACTCAGCATACGATGATGGTGCTGTTTGGAAAATAAAGTGAATTATTCGATTGAATAGGTGAAAAATGTGAAAATATCGAATGAAAATTCAACAGAAATCGAATAAAACTTACGAATCGATTGATACAAATTCTATCCGGCCGTATTCGAATCACCTGGTGAACTAGCTGGAGAGACTGGCTGAGTAGGTGCCTGTGATGGATCTTGAACTGGTTGAGATGGTTGCTGCTGTGGAACATCTGTATACGATGCCGTGTTCGGCAAATGTGTCGTTGCCAACGAAACGGTGACCAAGGTGATTGGTAATTTTCCTTCCAAATCGCGATGAGCGCCAGACACATTCAACTCAATCTATATTCAAATTGATAAAACATATAATTGAATACGGATTTTTTCTTGTTTTTCACGGCCATTTTTAGAATATAATTTTCATAGATTCGTCGTTGACTCCATATAATTCAGCTATGAATTCTTCGAATATGTGCCCTTCAACATCGAAGCATATGTCAAATGTCAGACTCTCACAACACGGAAAACCACAATCGAGTGGATATCGACCAAATGTTGTGATGGCTGAGAACCAGAAGAAGAGCTACAACTACATGGCCAGTCCCAACTATTTGCAATATGAAAACACCTATCAGAAGTATAAAAATATTTGCCATAACAAAGACGTGACCAATTTCCGGGAGAGCAATTTGAACCATGACCAACGAATGGTCGAATATCGCAACCATGAAGATGCAGGGTACGCTCCAAACGATCGTTATGGAGATGTTGAAGTTAAAACGGAAAATAATATGCAATCATCTGACGATGAAGGTGGCTTTAGGCAAAATATTCACTACCAAAAGAATCAATTCAATCATCTCAATGGTGTAAACGTATGCAATGGTACTAATGGGGAAATGGGGTACAATTTTAAAGAAATGGAGCCCCTTTTACACGGAGGCAACATTCATGATCCAATGCAAATAACAAACAACCGGCAAAAATACGAACCACCACATTATGCAAACCCCCATGCAATGTCAATGCAAAGTTCGCAGAAATCTTCGGAAAATCAAGTAACGAACCATTGCCATAACAACAGATTCAATCATCATCATCACCATCATCATCAGCAACAGCAGCAACAATTTCAACATGTAAATTCACCATATCGAAAGGTACCTCCCATACCTTCCATGCAACCTTACACAAAACCACTACCAAAGCTCCCGACAAATATAGGTAAAACTAATTTCGATTATAAAATCTTTCAATTACATAATTGCTCTTGTTTTCTGTTTCATCAAAGATGAAGGGCCTGAATCGTCAACTGAAGATATAAGTAGGCCATATTCACCAAGTTTGAGTTCATCAAACGAAGATATTCTGAAACCAACGGCCAGAATCGGTGATCTTGGAGACTGTGACTTAGCAGAAAATCGAATGAACGTAAAAAATGATTGGCTTTTGAGATCAGCTATAAATGCGGAATCCAACTATCCACAATATCCTCAACAATTCGGTGCTGGTTCAAAGCTTCACTCCATCGATTTGGCATATCTAAAAAACCTTGATCTAAGTTCCACGACCGAAAGCCCATCTACACTAGCAGCGACTAACAGAGAAGTCGAGTCCAGCACAAGTTTCGAATATCAAGAGAACAATTTAATACGATCACCGTTTCAACGGGAAATACAACGTCTTCTCGATTCATCGGCGTCGAAAGTTACAATCACCGGAAACCGATCATCAATCGATGCACAAAACTACAATGCAACAAAACTAAATGCACAACATATAAACAATGATATACGCCAATGGTACACATTCGAACATTGAACTTGAAGCGGCCCAAATGCTGTTGGGTGGAGGAAATTCTGCTATCGTCAATGGAAAGCATCCGGTTGGACTGGAAGTCATCAAAGAGATAGCAAAGAATACAGCCAACTCAGATTCCAGTCAAATGTAAATATATTTTTTTCGCCTAATTTTTCACAAATTGTCCCTTTATTTAATAATGTTTGTTTATTTGAATCAGGCAAATTTCCGACACGGAATCCCATACGGGCATACTCAAGGATGTCATCGAAAGCCGCATAATGAACGATCGCAAGAACACATTTTCAATAAATGGTGACCATCGAATGTTCGAGAAGCAGAATTTCAGCGTTGAGGAGAACGACGATGATGGTGACATTGAAGGAATGGATAGATCCCATATTGTCAATTCAAAAACAATTAATGATATCCTAAAGTATGATGCACACCAGTCAGCCGATTTGAATCCCATCGAAACACAGTCTGAATGGAGCGATGAAGATGAAAGGGACGATGATGAAGCTAAAGGTAACTAAAATATTCCTCATTCAACCCAAGTATTACTGATCATTCAAACAAATCATATATTTTTAAGGTGGTGCTGAAAATACAGGCTACATCACTGACGAGGCCGGCCTCTCTCTATTAAATGAAACAGGGTTAACCGATGCTAAAGCAGCATTATCGGACGTAAATTCATGCAACGCACATGACGTAGATGATACGTCAATATCAAGCCGAGCTAGTTCTCGTTTGCTTAGTCTAGACTCGTTGAGCGGCTTTTACGATAACGATAACGACCAAGAACGCATAACAAACAAAACACACGAAAAGGCAATTATGAATGTTTCGAGTAAAATAACGAATAAATTTGGTTCGCAAGCACTTTAGTAAACAAAATGGAAGAAAAGGCTCTTCATTTCAGAATTATACTAGCAATTAAGGTTTAAAATAACTCGAAACAACAGAATACTTAAATTAGTATGTGCGCAAAATTATTGTTATTATATATTATTTTTTGCAAGTGTATGATGATGCTTACTTAATATAAAATGTGATTTAGCATATGTTTGCTTTGTAAAACAAAGTTAATTTCATATACGCGCAAAGAATTGGCAAATTTCCTCATTTTAGTCGCAAAACATAGAATTTTGCAATTTAGAAAAGAAAAAAATGGATTTAGCTGTACGATTCCGTTTATTTTCAATGATCAACGTCTTAAAATTGTTTGTTGATTATTATTATTTGTTGATTTTGCACGAATCGATAGTATTATGAATTTTGGTAGGGATACAACAAACCTTACAAACTGATCTCAATGATACCTACGACGGAGGAAAGATTATTATTATCGATCTATAACTACTCATTTTATATTCTCAACCAACTTCCATTCTGACTTCTTGCTTCATTTCGAAATTTCAATATGTGATAAGTAAACTATGTTTAATGGATTCATATTCAATATCAACTTTCAGCTTTCAAGTGGCGATATTGGCAATTTATTTTTCCAGCCCACAAGTCGTAACGCTCCAACGCATTGAATCGCAAACGCTGACCGAGTTTTTTGCGAATTTCGGTGGTTTGCTTGGACTATTTTTGGGTGTATCAGTGCTGAGCATCATCGAGTTCGTTTACTACTCAACACTTCGTTTGTATTGGAACATTCGTCGTTCAAGAGCCGAAACTGATGTGGTATTGTTTGAACGGAGACCCATTAGTTCCATCAGTTGCATTACCATTGACTCTTCTGATGACCGAAAAAGAGAGTAATTAAGAAAAGATATGTCTATAGGCACAAATGGAATCTTTTCCCTACACGGAAATATATTTGCTAATTTTTTCAATTCATTTCCACTGTTACGATTGACCAAATCACATAAAATGATTTTGAATAATCTCTTATCGATTGTGCATTACCAAACCAGTCTTGCACTTTTTCCAGCCAAACCTACTCTATTCTATTATATTATATTCAGCCAGGGATTGGCGGTGTTGAATAAAAAAAAATAAAATAATTGTCCATTCTGCAAATTAAATTTTTAAAAATTTCTCCACCGACCTGTAAACTAGGCTAAAAGCTTCATCGCCGAAATCATTATAGTCCAAGTGCGAACGCTATTGTCTTTTAAAAGACGTGGGTCACGTATTCACGCCTTTCTTACGTCTTCTAAATAATTACCACACGAAAGACGTACGTCTTCTCAGAAGACTCTTCTGTGCAGTGATAAATGGTATAGCTGAAATTTCCCTAACGTCATTCTCTCGTATTCTGCCATTTACCATTACACAGAAGATGCACGTCTTTCAGACAGGAAATTATATAGAAGACGTGAGAAAGGCGTGTTCATGTGAACCACATCTTTTAAATGACGTAGCGTTCGTACTTGGGAGTAGCTTTAAAAATGCGATTCAAACATTTTTCATCATAATTTAAATTAAAATGTAATCGCATTATCCTTGAATTGAATAAAAAGGTTGAGCCTGCATCGCATGTTTGTGTACAATATTCCGGCGATTTCTTTTAACACTATTCCTCTATTAATCTCAAAATCGATAGTAAATAAACATAAAAGCAATGCCTGGACAGTATTTGAAAATTATATCATATAAAATTGTCTTTGATTTTTGATCCGTTTTTTTTTGTTTTTCAAAACAGAATTTAGTTGATGGTTGACTCATAAAGAAGCTTTGTTCAAATACTGTTCGTGTTGAATGGAGAGAAGCACACATTCAGAGGAGACAACAGAGAATAAAAAGAGATCGAAAAGATACAGTTTTTCGATTGTCGCTATAAAAATCTTTCTAAAATTTATTGCTTTTCATACTCTCTAGAGAGAACAATTGATAAACTATTTTATATCAGAGTTTTTGAAAAAAAAATCCTTTTTAAACTTTTTCCAAGAACAGCTTTTGTAATAATTTGCAACGAAAATGCGTCGAAATTTCATTGATTTCTGTAACAATAGCACAATACATGGCGTTCGTTATTTCTCGGAACGTAGGCGACACTGGAGTGAACGGCTATGGTGGATAATAGCGTTCAGCTTATCGGTATATTTATGCAGCTCATTGATTCACAATGTCTGGATGAAGTGGTATGAGAAACCGATTACATTAGATCTCAGTGAAAAGGAGGAGTTCACCGAAATTTCATCGGTTCCATTCCCGACAGTGACAATTTGTCCGCAAGCTAAATTCTATGGGCATCTACTAGATCTAACCACTGCATACAAAACTTGGGAGAATTCGCCCGAAAATGTATCAGATATTGAGTATGAATCTAACGCCAAAAATTCAAAGAAATTCGATTCGATTCGAATGAATCGTTGGGCATGACTTTTTCATGCTGTCGTTTTTTGTTTTCAGAATTAGTCGTATGCGAACGCTTTTACATATATGCACAGAAAATGGTTTCCTTAAACCTATAGATGACGGCGATAAATTTACAAACAGTTCAATTTACGAGATTATGAAGGATATGGCTATAAATATCGATGATATCACGGCTCAATGCGGATGGAGAAAGAAAGAATATCCATGTTCCGATTTTTTCCAACCGATTTTCACCGATGATGGCCTTTGTTTTGTCTTCAATGCACTCAATTCACACGAAATGTACACAGAAAAGTAAGGTCATAACGATTTTCTAACGAATAGATATTTTTGAATTGAATGCATGTTGACGTTGCATCATAACAAATATAATGAACTCATTATAATACTAATAAAATGATGGATATCGTTGAAATAATGTGTATTTAGCATGGCTCCTGAATTGATGACCGTGAAAAACAATTCTAATATAACGAATTGGAGCTTCGAAGATGGATACAAAAGGAATTCACCGATAAAAGATTATCCGAATCGTATATTCAATACGAAGCAATTTGGTGCATTTTCCGCAACGTTGAAATTATCAGCAGAGCACATCGAATACATATGTGCTGGAGCGATCGAAGGATTCAAAGTCACATTGACTGCACCGGGCGAAACACGTAAACTTGCTTCGTATTATTTTCAAATTCTTTTTTCGGAACAAGCGGAGATTTTCATCAAACCCAAACTCGTAACCACTTCTCAAACACTGCGCAAATATTCACCGAGTCAACGTCAATGTTTCTTCACTTCGGAGCGCCAATTGCGCTTTTTCCGAATTTATACGCAAAGTAATTGCCAAGTTGAATGTCTCAGCAATTTTACTCAAATCGAATGTGATTGCGTGAAATTTTCCATGCCAAGTAAGTGCTAGACGCTGGAAAAGTACCCAAGAACTTGTGAATTAAATTGAAAATGTCGTTTTCAGGAGATAAGAATACAAAAATCTGTGGAACAGCTAGCATTCGATGTTACCGGAATGCCGAAGATAAATTGTTTGGGGAAGACGTAATCGATGAATTTGCAAATGACACCGTGAAATTGTATCGTGAAAACTGTAACTGTTTGCCTGCATGCACTTCAATTAAGTAATTAAGAAAATATACAAATGGAATTTCTACTGCTACGGCTGACCAAATAACATAATTTCAGATATGAGGCATATATTGATAGGATAAAGTTCGATTATGCGCGAATATTAGAATCGATTGGCCTTTCTTTTGATTATTTTCAGAAGTAAATCATCGCAACAATGTTGTTATTGGAATAATTTTTAATAAAATTTCTTACGGTATTCGTTTTAGCTATCGAGTGGCTGCATTGTCGATTTACTTTTCTGAACCACAAGTCACAACGCTTGAACGCATTGAAACGCAAACCCTGACCGATTTCTTTGCCAATTGTGGCGGCTTGCTTGGACTATTCTTGGGTGTATCAGTACTGAGCATCATTGAGTTCGTTTACTACTCAACTCTTCGTTTGTATTGGAACATTCGTCGTTCAAGAGCCGAAACTGATGTGGTATTGTTTGAACGGAGGGCCATTAGTTGCATTCCCATCGACGCATTTAATGGCCAAAAGAGGGATTAATTGAGAAAATATATGTCTATAGGCACAAATAAATGCTTGCTTTGTGTTATTGCTCACAATCAATAAGGGTTATACTCATTGAATTAAAATAAATTGGCTACGTATTGTTTCCTGAGTGATTTTGAAATCATAACGAAACATAGCTCTCGAGTCGTAGTGGTGACTCGACCTAATTAATTGGCATAGCACGTTAAAAGTTGGCATTAAATTTAACAATAGCACGGTCAAACGTGTAGGGAAAAATCTCATTATCATAAAAGCTACACAGTGGTTAGTCGTATCTTTTCTGAATGTATGAGCTAAATTAGATACTAATGCACAAAGTGATTTTAATTTTCTTCCTTTTCTACTAATGTTATACTCGTGTACTGTAATTTGATTGAATTTTTATTGATTAAAAACTTCCCTTTATAAACTGAGCTTTATGTGTCTTATATGGTTAGTTCATTTTTATCCATTTTCTGAAATCAAACCCCTTCTTAATAATGAATTACAGTGACTTTTTTCGGAATTTTTTCTCTCCAATCAAATCGGAATTAATGAGAAAGTTTTACGCTGTTTTTAATGTCCGAAAATTGTGTTATGAATTTGTATGTGGGAAATTGAAGAAAATCGTTCAATATTTCGAACAGAACACTTTTATTCAAAAAATATGGGAAGATACAAA